TTTAAGTAGTAAACAAATGTTTAATTAACTTCTACCATGCTAATGGGAGACTTTTCCTTAAGATATTTTATAATTTTAACTATGAAACAATAAAGAATACATAACAATAAAATCTTAAACATCACAACGCATTTTCCAAAGCAAGTGCTTTATGTTCCACTAAAATAACAAATAAAATTTCTCACTATCAAATTAAAATTTGTGTGAACATGTGAAATGTTTGGCATTTTAAAAAGAAGATACTTCAGTTATCTGAACACATAGCTTGTCTTCCTTATACTGTTTTAAATGCTCAATTGAAATATTATCTGCTCCTCTCCTGGTTTGATAAGGTCGAAATAAAAACATTTGAATGGAAGTGGATATGAGCAACAAGAAGAAATACAATAGTTTTAGGAAATGTTACTTTCCATTAAACTTTGAATTTCTCATAGTCTGCTTTCTCTCAGGCTTTGAAGTAATGAGCCTGTGGCCATTTCTAGGCTGTAGTTGTTTAGCGCCATTGAGTTAGTTCTGACTCGTGGTGATCCTGTATATGGTTTCAAAACCACAAGTGGTGGTTTCGAGCCATCAACTTGGTAACAATCCAATTCTTATCCTACACCGCTGCCATTTCTACAGATGTTGTAAAACATAGAACAGTCTCATTTAGTCACATGAAAAAATACTGTTGGTAAACCCTTTATTACAAAAACTATTCAATAAAGTTATCATCAAAGTTGCCTAGACTTGGATCTCAAGACAATTTTGTAAAGTATTTATGTTAACTATATAATATATGAAACACTATTTTAGAATGATTTAAAAATATTTCTTTAAATTTTATTATGAATCTTAGATTACTTATGTCCACAAAGTACTTCTTTGAATCATCTGAATCTACAAATTTAAAATTGGAAATTAGGAGTGGAAAGATAAGAACTATAACATATTTGATATATCTTTATCAATTTACATTCCATGAGCTCAGAGTCTGTGTGAGGCTCATAGCCTGAGGAAATGAATTTCCAAGCTTGACATTGTGCTGTTTTTAAGTGCCCTGGAGAAGGTTTTAAGTCATAGCGACTCTGTATGGAGCAGCTGGTACGTTTGAACTGTTGACCCTGTGGTTCTCAGCCCAGTGCTAATCCTGGCGCCACACCAGGAGTCCTGACAATATGAAATATACTAATAAATTAACATAATATCCATCCTTTTCATAGAGAAAAATCTTAAGGGAAGATCTTGTCATTGATAATCTTTAATAATAACAAATCTATTTCTTCATGTCTTGACTTATATCTGTCATTAATAAAGAATATGGAGTCCTGGTGTGGTGCTGCAGGATAATGTGCTGGACGGAAAGGTAAGTTTGAAGCACAAGGTTGACGGCTTAGATCCACCAGCTGCTCCTCAAAAACCTGTACACAGGATTATACAGGGTCACTATGAGTCAAAATTGATTTGACAGCACTTAACAACAACAACAATAAGCAATATACCCTTAGCCAAAGATTTTTGATATTCTCTCTATTCTGAAGTATTTTCCCAGTCTTTATTTCTTTCTTTAATGCTCTGGTAGCTTAGTAGCTACGAGTCAGGCTGCTAACCTTAAAGTCACCAGTTTGAAACTACCAGTCATTTCCACGGGAGAAAGATGAGGCATTCTGCTCCCGTAAAGATTTACAGCCTTGGAAACCCTATGCAGAACCAATTCCACAGCACGGTGACAAGATTGACAGGGTGCAGCATGAAATCATTATATTACCCATGAGAAAATTTAGTACTATTAATGATCAAGTAACAAAGGAGCCAACTTTGGGATGAAAAATATACTAACAGCTACAAAACTGATTAAATTAATTGCCTGAAAATCCATGACATATACAGCTAACTAGGAACTACTCTATCCTTATAGCTCCTCATTTTGTTCCTGGTGCAGTGCTGTAGGATAAGCACTGACATACTAACCACCAGGTTGGCAGCTCAAACTCATCAGCCACTCCTTGGAAACCCTGTAAGAGGTCACTGTGAGTTAGAACTGATCCAATGGCACTTAACAATGAGAAGTAGTTAAGAAGAGGGGAAAAAAAAAGGGAACTGTAGGCAGATTTAAGAGTTTTAGGGATTGAGGATCTTTATTGTTGTTGTTAAGTGTCGTCGAGTCGGTTCCAACCCACAGCGACGCTGTATAGGGTTTCTGAGGAGCAGCTGGTGAGCTTGAACCGCCGACCTTGCAGTTCAAACAGCTTTGCAGCCTGGTGCATTAACCCACAGTGCCACACCAGGATCTTTATATATACTCCTAATAAGGAGCTCTGGTAGCGTAGTGGTTACGAATCGGGCTGCGAACCTTAAGGTCAGCGGTTCGAAACTACCAGCCGCTCCGCGGGAGAAAGATGAGGCTTTCTACTCCTGTAAAGATTTACACCCTCGGAAACCCTGTACAGGGTCGCTATGGGTCGGAACCGACTCGAAGGCACTTAACAACAACAACAACAACTGCAATAACTAGTAGGATAAGTGGAGAAAAGTCCAATTCTATAAGAAAAGGCAATGCTAGTTAGCTGTAACTCACTACCTTTGAATGGTGGTGTTTATGTGCTGTGGAGTCGGTTCCAACTCATAGTGACCCTGTACAGGGTTTCTGAGGCTGTAAATCTTTATAGGAGCAGAAAGCCTCTTCTTTCTCCCACAGAACAGCTGGTAGTTTTGAACTGCTGACCTTGAGGTTAGCAGCCCGATTCGTAACCACTACGCTACCAGCAGTCCTTGCCTTTGAGTAAAATTTCAAATCATAGCAACCCTAGAGAACAGAATAGAACAGCCCCATAATGTTTCCATAGCTGTAAATCTTTAAAGAAGCCTATTTTTCACCTGTGGTACAGCTGATTGATTTGAGCCACCAGCTTTTCAATTAGCAGCCACTAGTGGAGCCCTGAAGGAGCTCTGGTAGCATACTGGTTACGAATTGGGCTGCGAACCGCACGGTCAGCAGTTCGAAACTACCAGCTGCTCCGCAGGAGAAAGATGAGATGTTCTGCTCCCGAAAAGATTTCCAGCCTCGGAAACCCTGTACAGGGTTGCTATGAGTCGGAACCAACTCCATGGCACATAACCACCACCACCAGTGGAGCCCTGATGTGGTGCTGTGGGTTAATGCACTGGACTGCAAAGTCGATTTGAACTGAAAAGTTGGCGGTTCAAGCTCACCAGCCACTCCTTGGAAACATTCTACAGGGTCACTATAGGTCAGAAGTGACTTGATGGCACTTAACAACAGTAGTTAACATGGACTCCTGGTGTGGCACTGCAGGATAATGCACTGGACTGAAATGTCAGTTTGAACTGCAAGGTTGATGGTTCAAAGTCACCAATTGTTCCTCAGAAACCCTATGTAAGATCACTATGAGTCAAAACTGGCTCAACGCCACTTAACAACATGCCAAGTACAATTCCCATAGTTAATAAAAAGTGGTTACCATTAGTAGCATACACACCTGAAGTTGTGAGAATTAGTACATAAAAGATTGTATTAGCAGCCTTCATATAGCTATTGTTCTAAATTATGATTGAGGTAATATAGTGTAGCCAGAAGTAGTAGACAGACACTTTGCAATTTCTATCATTTCCACTTGGTATTTGCAGATAGGAGTGGGTGAGTGTTTACTCTGAGAAGAGTGCTGTAGAATAAGTGTTCAATTTAAAAAGTGCAAGAGAGTATCTAGTGGGGAAAAACTTGTCTTTCAAGAGATTATTTTATAAGTGAATAAAGATATTTTCTAAACTTTCCTTTGAATAACTAAAAATCCTGTATGACCAATCCTTGACTCTAACATCATGTTTTTTAAGCAAGCTGGTAAATAACTTTGACCCCTATTCAGCAGAAAGGGTATAATTCATATAAAAAATAGCTACTTTTTGTCATGCCATGCACAATTCCCGTAGCTAATAAATAAGCTGGCGAATCCATGCTTAGAAAATTCTACTGCTGAAATTTAGCCAAAGTCACTTATTCCTCAAGTCCACTAAAACTTAACAAAAATGTTGCTGAATCTAGAATATACATAGAATATGAAAATAAAACTATGCCATGAATACCATCTGAAAGCAGTAAGACTCTACCTACCTCTCTCCTTTTAATAATAAATTTATCTGGAAAAAAATAAAATCTGAGTTGTGAGGACAAAGAGCCAACTTTCCAAGTTTAAAATAGATAGTATTTCAGAGTTTCTTTAAAGAGTCTCTGGATTGACTTAATTCTACTTTATACTTTGGATTGCATACAATTCAGAGTAAATATAAAAGCTGAAAATAACAACAACATATTAATATTCTTTAAATACTTTACAACCACCCTGTTATATAGGCATTACTATTTCTATTTTATAAATAAGGAAACTGAGGCATAAAGAGATGATGTGCCTTAAGTCATACATGTCTTAGGAGAGAAAAGCAAATTTTAAATTCAGGTCAGTCTAAGATTGAAGCTCATGGTTTCAACTGATTTGCTGTATTTGCCATCCTATATATTCTGCAAGCCGTTTGAACTGCAGGTTCGGCGGTTCAGGCTCACCAGCCGTTCCTCAGAAACCCTGTACAGGGTCGCTATGGGTCAGGATCGACTCAATGGCACTTAACAACAACAACAACATACTCATAAAATACTGGGGATAATAAAGATGTAAATCATCATCTTAAGTATCTATGATAAGACTCTATTAGCTTTCTCATTTCTAAGCATCAGATTTTAAGGTAAAATTAAAACATAAGGGCTTCATTTGAAGTCATACCACCCAAAATGTAATCGTAAAGCACTTTATTATTTTATGAAGAATGAACGATACTGATATAACTTCATTTTAGTTACTAAACAATTCAAAAGTATCCATAATAGCTACAAAAACACTAATCGATGATCGTCAATATTCAGTAGGGCTTCTTGAAATTCTGTGTCACATTTATCATTCAGAATTAGAAAAGTTCATTATGGATGTGATTAAATATTATGGAAAACTTACTTTGTAACCTTCGTGTTGGGCTCTCTCCATGCAGCTGTCGCCGAGGCAAATACGGAGAAGGGTGGGGGAGTGGCAATGAAGAGACATCATGGGTCTGAAGTTTGTACCAATGTGGCTCATCATCTAATAATGCTGTCTCTAATTCAATTAAAATCTATAAACCCAAAAGACAAAGCACTGTTATATCAGCAATATAAGAAAATTCTCTTAAATGGTGTTATAACTCTTAAAAATAATCATAATATGACAGTAGTGATGTTATATAATATTATATATTGCAAAAATGTCAGTATTTAGATAAAACAGAAATGCTTGTTAAGATTTTACTAATTACATTGTTTTAAATATCAGAGACATTAATTTTGGAAATCCTTGACTTCTACAGGCTGTTAAATTTACCACTACAGATACAACAATAATTTAAAAAGTCTACAATAATAACTATGTGTATATGAATTGATCATTTAAAAATTATTTTCTAAGTCAGACATAAAAGACTGTTTCCCACCCTTTGGCTTTTGTGAATAGTTTTACAGTGCAAACTGACATTCAAGTATCTTTGCATCCTTGCTATCAGTTCTCTAAAGTACATGCTTAGGAGTGGAATTACTAGGTCCTATGATAAACCATATTAAATTACATTAATTAATTTAAAACAGCCAAAAGGACCTTGAGCAAAAGCCATCTGAATTTAGAGACTGTTTAGCATATTGAACACTAATGCTCAAAGAGCAGATGAATTTTGAGATGACATCAAGGACATCATACATGAAAATAGCAAAAGGTCATTAAAAAGCAGGAAAGAAATCAAAGATCAAAACGATGTCAAAGGAGAGTTTGAAACTTGCTCTTGAATGTGGAGTAGCTAAAGCAAATAGAAGAAATGATGAAATAAAAGAGCTGAACAGAAGATTTCAGAGGCCGGTTCAAGACAACAAAGTATTATAATGAAAATGCAAAGATGTGGAGTAAGAAAACCAAATAGGAAGAGCAAAATGAACATTTTGAAAAAACTCAGGCCTCCGTTTGCAATAGTGAAGGATTCTATGAGCAAAATATTGAATGATGCAGCAATTCTCAAAATCAGATGGAACGAATACATGGTGTGACTGCATCAAAATTAATTGGCTGCTGTTTAGACCTTTCAGGAGATAACATATGAAAAAGAACCAATGGTATTGAAGAAAGACATTGAAGCAAAACTGAAAGCACTGGCCAAAAATAAGGCTCCAGGAATTGACAGAACACCAACTGAGATATAATAACAAGCATATGCAATTCTGGATGTGTTCATTCATCTACACCAAGAAATCTTGAAGACAGTAATTTGGCCAGCCAGCTAGAAAATGGCAATGTGTGTGCCATTCTAAAGAAAGATGAACCAATAGAATGAGACTGTTACCAAATAACATCATTAATACCACACGCAAGTAAAATTTTGCTGAAGATCATTCAAAAACAGTTGTAGCTGTACAGCAAATGGGAACTGTCAGCAATGCAAGCCAGATTCAGAAGTGGATGTGGAATAAGGGATATCATGACTGATGTCAGATAAATCTTGGCTGAAATCAGAGAATACCAGAAAAATGCTTATCTTTGCATTCAATATGCAAAGGCATTCAACAATGTGGATCATAACAAATTATGGATAATATTATGAAGAACGAAAATCCCAGAATACTTAATTGTACTCATGTGGAACTTGTACATAAACCAAAAAGCAGTTATTCAAACAGAACAAATGGATGCTGCATGGATTGAAACCACAGAAGGAGTGTGTCAGGGTAGCAACCTTTCACCACATTTAGTAGATCTGTACACTGAGGAAATAATCCTAGAAGTTGGACTATTTGAAGAAAAATGTGGCATCAGAATTGGAGGAAATCTCATTGTTGTTAGGTGCCATCCAGATGGTTCCAAGTCATACAACCCTATGTACAACATAACAAAGCACTGCTTGGTTTGGTGCCATCTTCACAATTGGTGTATTTGAGCCCATTGCGCTGCAACTGTGTCACTCTATCTCGTTGAGGGTCTCCTCTTTTTTTCTGATCTTCTACTACCAAGCATGATAACCTTTTCAAGGGACTGGTCCCTTCTGATATTATTTGTACTTTATGTGAGATGACATCATTCTTGCTTCTAAAGAGCATTCTGATTGTACTTCTTTCAACACAGATTTGTTTGTTCTTCTGGCAGTCCATGGTACTTTTAATATTCTTCTCCAAAACTATAATTCAAATGCTTCAGCTATTCTACTGTCTTCCTTATTCACTGTCTAAGTTTCATATGCATATCAGGTGATTGAAAAATATCATGGTTTGGGTCAGGCATACTAATTATTAGTCTTTAAACTGCATCTTTGTTCTTTGAAAATTTAAAGAGATTTCTTTTGCAGCAGATTTGCCAAATGCAGTATGTATTTGATTTCTTGACTGCTGCTTTTATAACCACTGTTTGTGGATCCAAGTACAATGAAATTCTTGATGATTTCAATCTTTTCTTTGTTTATCATGATATTGTTTATTGGTCACCTCAGCAAGAGACAGATGTGGTAATCTACTTCTGTGAAAATGTACAGCATTGAAATCCCTACGAGGCAGTTCTACTCTAATCTATAGTGCTGCTATAAATTGGAATCTGCTCCAAGGCACTGCTTTGATTTGATTTTCTTGGTTCAGTAAACTAACATGATTTACACAATAAAATCAACAAAACCATCTATTTGCGAAACACAAACTAATCTTTCATGAGTCAATGCCGGGATTTCTGCAATAAGAATAAACATGTAAAATTTTTGAGAGTATTTAGAACCACTCTTTTGTATGGCATCAACAAGGTCTACTTTAAAGTGGTAGTTAAAATCCTAAATATGCTTACTCTTTTTAGGTACTGAAAATATGAAATGTTAAGGCTAATAATAAATGAAAGTATCTAGGACAGCATAAATCAGATAAGCTATAAAACAATTCCAGATACCTCTCCTAAGAATTCACTTTCCTCCTCTCGAACTCGAGCTTGATCCCAAAGAGTAATCTCTAGCATTCGTTCTCGAAATTCTCTTCGGTGGACTGGAGAATAAATGAATGTTTGATTCCATTTGGGTTCCAATGCCTTCTTTACTGTCTTAGTTCTTCTCTTGTTCTTATCACTATGAAAAAAATTTTAAAGAAGTGTATGAAGTTATATAAATGAGTTTAACACTAAGTTTTATTCATTGTAGATATCTCAAGAAAGAAGTCAAATGACATTTTAGAAATTTACGATAACATTAGAAGTATTATAATCTTTAAAATCAGTATTGAAATGGATATATAATTATATCATAATTTATAAGTGTCTTCATAATAGCAGTACAGAAGCAAGTCTAATTATTCCAATTGAAAACGTCAGTCTTTCTCAACATCTAAATAAAACATGACTTGAAAATATTAAGTCAACATCGGAAACCTTTAAAATGGCAACTGATGAATAATATTATTTATATATACACTGTTCACTAGGACCCCTGGTGGTGCAGTAGGTTACAAGTTTACAAGTTGAGGGGCTAACCATAATGTCAGCAGTCAAACCCACCATCTGTCCCGAGGGAGAAAGATGAGGGTCTTTGCTTTTATAAAGATTTATAGTCTCAGAAACCCAAAGGAGCAGCTCCATCTGGAATCAACTATAAGGCAGTGGGTTTTTATACTATTTACTTAACTTACAGAAGACTTCTTCTACAAAATGTCTAGTAAATTGTGCAGTTCACAACTTCATATCTATATAATAGCTAATGAGCAACTATAATTCACATTTTATCAAATTACTTTATTACACAAAAGAAATAGGTATTTGTTCATTTAATATTTATCATATCCTTAAAATCATTATAAAATTACTTCTATGTGAAATAGTTACTATAATATGGGTTGGAAATGCAAACTAGCCATACTAACAGATGAGACTTCAGACTCCCAGATTTCTGTCCTTTTTTAAAACTGCACATTTTTATCAGTAAGTGTTCTGGACTATGTACTACGTGCACATTTATTAATGATGTATATGTATTTATTAATACACTGCATACTAATATATTATGTACAGTTGACCCTGGAACAACATGGGTTTGAACTGCATGGATTCACTTATATATGGACTTTCAAAAACCAAACAAAAACGTCATGTGAAACGATCATCATCTGATCTTCAGAAAATTGCATATTGCAGTCAAAAGTGATCGCTCGTGTTTCTTGAGTGCTTTTCATTGTGTTTGGTGTAATGTCATAACCATGAAAAACACCACAGGACTCTTATGAAGTGCCACTACTGATTCTGGAAGTGCTCTCAAGAAGCAAAGTCAAGACACAACATGAATAAGTTGATATATACTTGAGATTGAGGCTTGCAGCTGCAGTTGCCCACTGTTTCAAGATAAATGAACCTAGTATAAAGTCCACTGTAAAAAAAAGAAAGAAAGAAAGATTGAAAAGGAAATTAATGAAGCTGTGACTGCAACTACACCAACAGGTGCAAAAATCGTGCACTCTTTGCAAAATACCCTTTTATCTTGTACAAAAAATGCAGCTTTTATGTGAGTGCAGTATGTAATACATATATCATACAAAATATATGTTGACTGTTTAAGTAATGGCTAAGGCTTCCAGTCAACAATAGGCTGGTTTTTGGTAGTCAATAGTTAAGTTTTTTGGGAGTTGAAAGTCATATGCAGATTTTCAAATGTGGCCCTAGCCCCCACATTGTTAAAGGGCCAATTGTTATTTTGGGGGGATATATATATATATATATATATAATATATATATATATGTTGTTGTTGTTAAGTGCCGCTGTCAAATTGGTTCCAATCCATAGCGACCCTGTATAGGGTTTTCAAGGAACGACTGGTGAGCTTGAACCACTGACCCTGTAGTTCAAACAGCTTTGCAGTCTGGCACATTAACCCACAGCACCACACCAGGACTATATGGACATTAAAGATAAATAATAAATTTTAATATTTCTTCATGAAACCCTGTGTATTGCTCCAAACATCCTCTAGGTTCTACCTATTGTGTTTTGGAGATCACTTCCCTAACTTATTTGAAAGGATCAATGGCTAAACAGAATAAATGCAATCATCTAGGGAAGGGAAATTTAAGCTATCTTCCCCTTAACCAGTTTGATAAAGCCTACTGGATATCACTGGACACTCTTATTTAGCAGGTGGTGATACATGGTTGTACGCTGTTGAGTCAGTTCTACACATAGTGATCCTGTTTAGGGTTTCTGAAGCTAAAAGTCTTTCTGGGAGCAGAAAGCCTCATCTCTCTCTTGCCGAGATACTGTCAGATTCGAACTGCTGACCTTGCGGTTAGCAGCTCAACTCACAAGTCACTACATGACCAGGGTTCCCTCTTATTTTGCCTTATTTAAAGTAAGAAGTGTACAGACAAGGAACTCTAATTGGACCAGTATTAACTGCCCAAAATTCTCTCAGCACAGCACAACTCTAAGAAGGGAAGAAAAAAGTAAGGAAGAGGTAGAGTATCTCATTTGTGGCAACTTTAACACTGCTTCTTCTACTAGAGCTAGGGTTTAATGCTTAACATAGATTTGACTAGAGTAATCAAGAGTTACATTTCCAGAGCATATATATTAAATTTTATATATTATTGATACTTTCTGTTGACTCAAAATCTAGGTCTCCATTTAATTTAATTTAGTAATAGCAAGGAGAATGTTTTCAGTCAAATTAGCAAATAAAGAAATATATTTTAAATGTTGTTGTTCTTCTTAGACTAGCAATCAAATCTATCTCCAGATATAAAAAAAAAAAATACACAGAAAGCCCAGTTATTTTTTAGAATATAGAGCACATTAGAATATATTATCCCATTGACACTGAATCGGTTTTCACTCATAGTGACCTTGATAGTGGCCTTGTACAGGGTGTCTGAGGCTTTGATCTACAAGAGCAGAAAGCCACATCTTTCTCCCATGGAGCAGCTGGTAAAAAACTGCTGACTTCTGGTTGGCAGTCCAGTGTTTATCCTATAGTGCTAACCAGGGTTCCTTTGGTGGCTATGTGCCACCAAGTCAGTTCCGACTTATAGTGACCATGTACAGGGTTTCTGGGCTGCAAATCTTTACAGGAGCAGAACGCTTCATCTTTCTCCCATGGAATGGCTGGAGGGTTTGAACTGCTGACCTTGTGGTTGGTTATCAGTCAAGTTCTTATCCTATAGTGCTACCAGGGCTCCTTAAGAGCACATTATGTTGTTGTTGTTGTTAAGTGCCTAATCAGCTCTGTTTAGGGTTTCTGAGAAGCAGATGGTGTGTTTGAACTGCTGACCTTGTAGTTTAAACTGACCTTGTGGTCCAGTGTATGATACTGCAGCACCAAGTAGGACTCCATATTACACAATAAGTAATTTTTCAAATGACTTAACTTTCTAAGCTATCTTTCTTTAATATAGCCTCACTTTCCTCTCTAGGAATTCTTATCAATCAAAAGTTACTCCTTGTTTTCTTGTGTTTACCCTGCCAAGTACTTTTTCTTCCAGAAAAAAAAAAAACTGTCAATGAAAATGAAATTAAATGGAATAATTCATACTGAAAATATAAATAAATTTGCATTCAAGTGTACAAAGGGCAATATTTTGAGATGACAGTTTCTGAATTAACCATAGAATACTTTACTCTGTTAAAGACAAAACCCTGACACAACCCAATGGACAAATTAAGCTATCTAATGCATCTAAATATTTTTAAGTTCCTGATAATTAACAAGGAAATTCATCTGGGAAATCAGCTAAGAGGGAAAAAAAAAACCAAAAAAATAAATAATGCTCACATTCTTTGTTTTGAAAAAGATGAAGACTCTACATTTAAAATGTAAAGGAATGGTTAGTAAGAGCTTCCTTCCCATTTTCGTTCTATACAATGTGCTCAGGAAATAAGGTCGGGATTATGTAAAATAAGATAAAACTACACAGTGATCATTAGGCCAGATAAAACGTTAGTAATTTGGAAAACTTTTAATATTCTAAACACACACACACAAAGTATTTCTCTTCAAAGGTTTGAGTGAGTATAAAGACAAGTTATATGCGTACATAATCGCTTACATGAAAACACAGCATTTCCTGCAGGTTTTCACTATGACTTTCCAAGGATGGTAAGAGTAGTAAACCATATGTGCTTGGTTGACTTAGATGGCAGAGTAATTTCTCTGTAACATCTGTCATTCAACTAAAGTTTTGTTGTTGTTGCTTTGGGATCAGTTCTGACTCACAGTGACCCAAGGAGCAACTGGTAGGCTTGAACCACCAATCTTGCAGTTAGCAATTTAGTGCTTATCCTACAGAGCCACACATCTGTTAAGTCTAACCAACTAAAGTTTACGCTAGACTTAACAGAATCAACTCTTGGCAACCAGCAAGAGTTTTGCAACATCTTCTTCCTCTCAAAACGTGTTGCCCTACAAAAGTCACTTAAGTTGTTAGAGATCAACTTTCTTCAAGCAAAGTTTAAAAGAAAAGTTTTATAGTAAACCATTTCTAATGATTTGATATTGTGATACCTTGACAGATTCTATGGAATTTGTTTTATAACTTTTCACCCAAAACACATATTAAACGAAATGTTAAGGTCTTTATTAGTCGTCTATTTTCTTTACTTTTGTCCTTTTCTTTACTGAGAAAGTTGTTCAGATAATACTGTGGCGTCTAACTCAAACCTGATGACATTTTACTTGAACTGCTGTTGTTGTTAAGTGCCATTGAGTCGGTTCTGAATGACCCCATGTCGGGTTTCAAACCCTAGTGGGTTTGAACTGCCAAACTTATGGCAGTGTTATTCTACAGTGCCACATCTGAACACCATATAATGTTCTAAATTATAATAGAACATTTACTTGGAATAAGCAACTAAAAACAAAGTTCCAAAAGGAGTCAAAACATGATTTAAGATCACATCTGTGGTCAGCCACTTAGAATTTAAGGAAAAAAATGACCAAACTTTAAGTAACACCCTGCCCTAGAAACCAGGGATAGAGAAAAACCAGGGAAAGGGTAATGGGTACCTTTATTACCTCCTTCCTCTCCAAGGTATCTAATGAATTGTTCCTGAGTTTTTACATGCTTGATGTCAAGAGTTATTGTTGTTGTTATGTGCTGTGGAGTCGGTACTGACTCATAGCGACCCTGTACAGGATTTCCGAGGCTGTAAATCTTTACGGGAGCAGAATGCCTCATCTTTCTCCCACGGTACAGGTAGTTTCGAACAGCTGACCTTGCAGTTCGCAGCCCGATTCGTAACCAGTACGCTACCAGAGCTCCTTATTAGAGAATTTTTATTATACTATTCTCAATCCTAACTTCTCTATTTAAATCACAGCAGAATAATGCCATATACATCAACTAGAGTGGACACAAACAAATGATGCTTGAAGAAGTTGATTCTGAGCCCAGTGATAAAAGTTTCCTTAGTGACATGCACTGATAAAAAACAAAGCATATGTGTTAGTTTTACAGAATATAATGAAATAACACTTTGTAAGAGGAGATAAAAATTACAATTATGAGTTTTAGTGCTATTTCCAGCTTTTCACTTTGATAGTTTTTGTTAAAAGAGCATTTGGTTCAAAGGGACACAATTTTAAATTATTTTGATTAAAAAAACACATAGATTATTTTAAGTAAGAATCCACACATGACTAAAAGAAATATAAATAAATATATTTAATAAACATTTGATATGTTTTAAAACAATTTCACTGTAATATATCCTCTCAAATTATTTTGATTCTTAGAAGGCATTATGATTATTTGAAACTTTAAAAATATCTGTCATGCTGTAGAAATATAATAAGTACAGAATTGAAATATCCACTGTGATTAACATTTTTCCACATCTTTATAAGAACATTTATTTTTGTTTCTTATCCCTACCTTCTATCTGGTAGAAAGTAAATTTTAACATAAGGATTCCTTGGCCTCCCATCTTCCCTGGAAGGGAGATCCTTTGCTCCCAAAATTGTAACTATTAATTGGTGACCAACCTTGTCAAACCACAGTTTTATCTGAAAAGCAAAAATATTAATTTATCAACTCAAATATTTACTATCATAAAATAATGTTTGTAATCCCAATCTCCACCCCAGTCTCTTACACTAATATTAGCACAGAATATAAATTTCACTTAGTAAATTGTGGTTAGTTAAAATAAAAGGATATACTATAATAACTTCAATGAATAGAAAAATTAATTCAGATAGTTTAATTTGACTGATCACTCCTTTAGGCTTTTGGATTATCCTAATTTTACTGCTTGCTAGCATGCATATAATAATAAATGCACATAAAATACCATAACTAATGACATTATATGCAATTATTGCTCTACATCTTTCTTTGTGCAAGAGTTGCTATTGTTAATCTTAGTTCCCTATGATTACTGATTTAAGAATAAATTCTCAAAAATTATTTAGAAGATGAAAATTTATATAACATCCACAGGGAATTTTTTAAGCAACGGTTTTATGTTGTTTCATAGCAAATGCCATTCAAGGATTATAGGCAAGGAGTAATTACTAGTAGCTTTAGTCAACTGACTCCTTCACTCTGTATTTAAACTACAATAAATTAATTTTGCACACGATTTTCTTACAATGACACAGTTTCTTTTTCTTTTGTGAAGCAAACATATCAAATCCTTAGAACAATGGTATTTTTGTTAAGTGACATTGAGTCGGTTCCGACTCACAGCGAGTCTGAATGGAGTTTCTGAGGTTCATGTTCGCCTGCAGAATGGCTGGTGGGTTTGAACTCCCAACCTTGTGGTTAACAGTCCAGTGCTTATCCTACAGAACCACAGCACTCTCATATAATTTGATCTGAGAAAATGTAAATAACTTCTCTATGCCATAGTTAAGGATTGGAACTTCACATTTCAGCTCCTAAATTCATTTGACAGAACAGGTTCCCTCCCCTCAGGCACTCAGATTTCACACCATCATAAGTAGCCAGGTAATTCTACTATTGAAGAATCTATGATACCCTGGTATGGCGCTGTGGATTAATGAGTCAGACTGCAAAGCCGCCTGAACTGTAAGGTCAGCAGCTCAAGCTCAGGAGCTGCTCCTCGGAAACCCTATCTATACAGGGTCACTATGGGTCAGACCCGACTCAACAGCACTTCACAACAACAACAACATGACAACCTGGTTGTGCTCCCTATCTTGGTTCAGAAATCAGTATACTTGTCACCACTATCCTGAAACTGAAATAGAATTGGAAATTTGGGATTTGAGAAACAAGCTTGGTTATATATTAAATACTAATACTTGAGTTCCAATTCCAACATGACTTTCTTGAGTCCTTTACTTCATATCCTATAAAGTGATAAGTTGAGCAATATTTCTGTGTCAAAAAAAAAAATGGCCCAGAAGAGTATATAAAAACATTTTTATATATTTCTTTCTATATTTTTTATCAAAAAATTAGCCCTTTTATAGAAATAATAGTAAAAAAAAACCCATTTTTAAAGTTCTAATTACTAGTCTTTGTGTTGCTTTAAGTTTTTATGCTCAACATATTGTTGTGCAATAAACAGACAAAATAATGCAAAGAAGCCCTAGACAGATGTTTCTCAAAATGTTTTTCACAAAACCCTATATCAGTATCACCTGGCTTATTTAATAAAAAATTACAAAATTGGAGGGTTCCCCTGTTATCTACTGAATCAGAAGGCAGTATAGACATTTGCATTTTAACAAATCCTCCAGGAGACTCTCATGTACATTAACATTTGAGAATCACTTCCTTATACATAGAGATCAAGATCCTAGGTGTTAAGTGTCTTGGAGTCAGTTCAGGCTCCTAGTAACTGTGTATAGGGTTTGCCAGGCACAACTAGTGGGTCTGAACCATTAACCTTGCAGTAAACAGTCCAGTGCTTGCTTATCCTACAGCGCCACACCAGGATTGCACACAAAGGGCTAAGTAACCAGGAAAAAAAAACATTACTACCATTTAAATATTTGCTTGCCTAAAGTACTAGAGGATAGTTACAGATTACTATAAGAGGGGGAAAAATACTATTTTTCTGGCAAAAAGTCTGAGGGAAGAACAAAGAAAGCAAGAAATGCAGGAGTGTCTCATAGTATAGAAGATGAAACCATGACATTGTTAGAGAGCTCTACGGTTCCTCTAATCTTTGTGACTAAAATGAGATTCTTATGATATCTTCGATTCTTATGGCAATAAAGAGTTCAGGACTTTAATTTTTCCATGATATTAAAAATCCTTCTCCAAGATTCAAGACATGAACATTAAGTATCTGAAATAGAAAAATATTTTAAAAGGCTAAAAATAATTTTTCCACTTAGGAAACATAAATAATGATTATTTTTATTGTCAGACTAAAGCTCATAATTAGTATTAGCTAACTATTGCTGTTAATTTAATGGGTTGAGACTAGGATCTTATTATCTTCTCAAGCAATACATTTTGCTTCCTTAAAATCATTAAGATTGAGATATATTTTTCAAGTATCCTTTTCAGATTTTTTTATGCCATGGGAACAACAACAACAAAAAAATCATGTACTATTATCTATTTCTTGTAAAATAGACAATATGTTATTACATTAAATTATACTTTACAAATATTCAGAAACAAAATTGGTTTGATAGGAAATAGGAACATTTTAATTTATTGATTTTGTGGCTAAAATCATACTTTAAAAAATAAGTACTCTTACACTGGGCATTTGATCAATTGCTCTAATTTTTATTCCATAATAAAGGACTTACATTGAAGTTTTTAGTAGATATCCATTTCACATCATCAAAACTGGACTCTGTTATTGATAGATTCATTTTATCACATTCCTAAATATCTTGTCTGTGCTTTCAAAATGAATTGTTAAACAATATCTGTTGATACCCCAAATTTTAATAAATGCAGCTCTACAATTCTAGGCCTGCCATACTTTCGTTACACCTAAATTTCACTAATAAGCATCTTGATATCATTTAACTATATCAACATGATCATTTAACTATATCAACATAATTATCATTTCAACTTTTTCGTTTTCCTAAGTAGAATACAAGCAGCAGATGCAAATATTTTCACTGCATAGTATTAACTAGAAGAAGTTTATTTTTTTAAAAATATAAACAAATTAGTATTTTTAAAAACAAAATAACTTTTTTAAAACATGCAGCAAAGCCAGGGAAGCATACTACAACTATCTTTTTAAAATCTATATTTACATTACTTTACTATATAAGGATATCCAAATGAAAAGAGGCAAACAACTTGTACCCAAACGTTACAATAAAGTGAAATGAAATTACGACAAAATGTAAATAAAATAAGTCCAATAAAACTTATTTAGATTTTTACTTTGTTCTTTCAAAGTAACGTATTTTACAAAGGTTTAACTTTATATATAATATGAATAAGATCCATATTTTAAATCAGGTACAAATATATTTGCCAATCTCCTCAAGGAGTTATTGCTTGGAAAATGCAAGAGAATGTACATGACAAGTGATATAATGAATGATTTAAAGAGACACCAAACTTCAAATAATAAAGGAAATTATTAGTAGCACAGAATTAGCTATTTCTGTAAACCTCATATAAGTGGAATCTACATAATATCTACATTAAATGCCACTCTGAAACCTATGAGGTTGAGTATTCAGTTCAGTGTATAAAATTAATAAAAAGTTTGTCTCTTTAAATTTTTATTCAGTTTATAAATCCCCATGCATAATTGTATAAGCTGGTTCATAAAATGATTTAGAAGTCAATATTGTGGTTTGGAGCATATACCAAAAATATGTTTTCCTACTACGCATTTTCCAAAAACAAACAGATAAGGTTAAGACACAGCTTTAGTTTCTGTCAGGCAGACAAGGCCTTTACCTGAACCCTAGGAACAAAAGGCGTTGTTCTTCTACTAAGGCTTTGGCTCTGGTAAGCAAAATTAAAGAAAAAAGCAATAAAACAAAACCAAAAGGACAACACACTGCAACTAAACGTCCAAAAGTGAAACAAACACATACAACTATCCCTTATGTCCACATTTTCCAGGACAATAGTTACCTAAAGTAAGTTCTTCAATGTAATTAATGCATTAAATTTGTCAAAATGCTAAAATACTTTAAAAGTATAAAAATATGATAAAGTTTAATCCGATTTAAACAACATAATCAACATAAAGGAATTAAGACTAAATATTAAAAAAATATGTGGATTCATATACTCTGAAAAAAAAATATCGTAGACATACCAGAGGGTCTAGAAATGATAGGTTTTATCCTGAAACACACCACACAGAAACAAAGATAGTTCAAAACTTTGACTATGCATTTTATATTGGTACTAGTAAAAAAAAAAAAAAAATCCTGTGAGAGTAATTGTGTGGCTTTTCCAAAATAATTAAACATAACAAAAATAAAAATAATAAAAAATTACCAGGTTAACTTTAGGGTTTCTTAAAAGAAAAACCACAGTAAGAGAAAAGTATGTTGTAATGTACTCAGTTAATTAGTTGATTCATATGTTAGGAATGTGTACCCGGTTCTAGTATTTAATACCATCTTCAGACGTTTAGTATGTCCCAGCCAAGAAAACTGGAGCCCAGTGGTCCACATGATAAGTAGATGACTGTGGATCACAAGAGTCCGACCACATCAGCCACTCTGCAGGAGAAACATGACGCTTTCTGCTTCCCACAAGATTTACATTCTTGGAAACCCTATGTTGTTGCTGTTAAGAGTCGTTTCTGACCCATAACGACCGTACATAGGGTTTCCAAGGAGCGGCTGGTGAACCTGAACCACCGACTCTGGACTGCAGTCCAGTGCATTCGCCCACAGCACCACACCAGGACTCTTGGAAACCCTACACAGGGTTGTTATTAGTCAGAAGATATTCAACAGCACTTAACAACATTCAAAAACACACTGTTTACTACTAATCGCATACATTATTGGTGTTGTTAAGTGCCGTTGAGTGCATTCCAACCCATAGCGAACCTGTTTACGGTTTCCGAGGAGCAGCT